AATAAATTATAATCTCAAGACCAAACAAAGCCTGGAGTTTCCGTAAAAACACAATTCATGTGTGAAATATGTTGCCTAAATCTCTTATCTAGTAATAAATTATAATCTCAAGACCAAACAAAGCCTGGAGTTTCCTTAAAAACACAATCTACATGTGGAATAGGTTGCCTGAACTCATCTTGTCAATGTTAGAAAATAGAGTATCAAGACCAGGCAAATCCTGAAGTCCTTAAAAACACAACCCACATGTGGAATAAAATGCCTATACCCAACTTGTCAATGTAACAAAATAAAGTCTCAAGACCAGGCAAATCCTGAAGTTCATAAAAATTAAGAAAATGCTGCCAGATTCTACATTGTCAATGTTAGAAAATAGAGTATCAAGACCAGGCAAAGACTGAAGTCTCCTTAAAAACACAACTCACACGTGGAATATGCTGCCTAAACCCAGTCTGAAAGAATAATGCAATTAATTTCATTAAAATAGTTTATCGTGAACAAAGGATGAAAATAATTTAGATTTCCTAAATCTTAAACTTTTACCACTATTTAGCAATTTTGATAACAAATCTATATTTGGGATGCTTTGTTTACGTTTATATGAACAAAATTCTATATGAAATAACACAAGAAATATATATGTTTATATAAAAATATACAGTAGTTGCAAATATGTAGGTAATGACACACAAGTGTTTATATACTTAAGGATAATGAAAACATAATTAATGAACAGTTGCTTATAAGAAAAAAATACAGGATTAAAATATACTTTACAAACATTGAAGAACAAAACATAACAGTACCTCTCTTCTTTGTGGAATAGGAACAGGTGGAGCAGGATGTTTCTTCTTTTTCCAATACCCAAAAGTGTTGCTCTCTGTTGATGTCTTAGTCTCTCTGGTGTTTTCACCTTCCTGAGACTTGTTTGGAACAGAACTTTCCTTTATCTTAGGTTGATTAGCTCCTTCTGACCTGACGGAAGTCTGGGGACTGGAAGAGGAACTTGAATCAGACTGTTTCTTCAAGGAAGATGAGGAAAATTCTATTTTACTATTGATATGCTTTGATTTTGGAAAAGGAGTACTTTGTTGGATATGATTTATTACTGGACTTTGAGTTGCATATTTATTAACACTTACTTTTGAGCTTGAAGTTGACTGTTCTAACTCTCCTGTTCCAGATATTACTGGTGAATGTTTTAATGTTTGACTGAAAGAAGTAAAGTGTATTGTATCATATCCTTTGGTTTCTACAGATGTTGTCAATGTTAATGGGTTTGATGGATTCTCTTTCCTTTGAACAACTGTTATGACCTTTGGTGAGCCAGTACCAGAGAGTTTTTTCTCTCTTTCTGTTGAACTGTGCTGGTTTTTTTCATCTTTCCAGATAACTACAGAGCCTTCAACTTCTTCTCTTTCATTTTTGAAAGGAATGAAGCTAGGGTCATAGTCAGTGGGATAAACCTTCTTTTTTGTAGCTGGAATATTCTTTAAAGAATTACTATTTTTTTCTTTAAAATATTCAAATGTATTCAAATATCCTGGATAATCTTCACAATCAGGGCTTTCAACATTACAGGTTCCATCATTATCATCTCCAAATTGATTCAAATGTTGATGATAGTTTTCTGGATTTGTAAAGACAGATAAAAGCTTTGATGGTTTTTTCATCCTTCTTTCTGAAGATTTCAAATGAGAACTACTAATTCCAGAAATATTAGGACATACCTCAAACTCTGTTGATGAGTCTTCAGTAACATTGTCAATAGATCTACTGCACCACTGTACTTTACTATAACATTCAGACACATTAGCTATGTTTTCCTTTACTACATCTTCCAAGAAACCATCCGAATTTTTCCCTTTTGTAGTTTTTAATTTACAAGAAATTAGCTGTTTTGTTTCATCCAAACCTCTCAAAGATTGCTTTTCTGCCATCCAGTGCTTATTAGAAGGTGCTATTTGTGTAACAATCCCATTGGATATTTGTTTCCTTGCTGTATCTACTTTACTAAGAGGCATTTTTCCTATATACTCTCTACTAGAAGTTTGTGTTTTTCCTGTACCTACTTTACTAAGAGGTGATGTTCCTGTATACTCTCTACTAGAAGTTTGTGCTTTTCCTGTATCCACTTTACTAAGAGGTGATGTTCCCGTATACTCTCTACTAGAAGTTTGTGCTTTTCCTGTATCCACTTTACTAAGAGGTGATGTTCCTGTATACTCTCTACTAGAAGTTTGTGCTTTTCCTGTATCCACTTTACTAAGAGGTGATGCTCCTGTATACTCTCTACTAGAAGTTTGTGTTTTTCCTGTACTTACTTTACTAAGATGTGATGTTCCTGTACCTACTTTACTAAGAGTTGATGTTCCTATATACCCACTATTTGAAGTTTGTATTTTTCCTGTACCTACTTTGCTAAGAGGTGATGTTCCTATGTACTCATTACCAGAAGTCTGTGTTTTTCCTGTATCTACTTTACTAAGAGGTATTTTTCCTATATACTCGCTACTTGAAGTTTGTGTTTTTCTTGTACCTACTTTACTAAGAGGTGACGTGCCTATATGCTCTTGACTTGAAGTCTGTGTTTTTGCTATATCTTCTTTACTAGAAGGTGATGTTGCTGTATCCGTCTTCTTAAAGGTTTTGTGTTTTTCTGCACCTATGTTATAAGATGTGTCTGTACCTCCTCTGCTGGAAATCTGCTTTATTGCTTCTGCTACCCTACTTGTGGTTTTTTCCTCTGATTTTCTTAACTCAGTAAAAGGTACATGTAACTCTGATACTGTTAACTCTTTAGGATATTGTTTCCAAGTAGTATTCTGACTATCAATATTACTTGTAACAGATACATACAGACCATGACTGTCAAACTGAGAAGAAACAGGCCTTTTAACTACATTGAATTTGTCAGAATCTTTCACATCTAATGTTCCAACAATTTCACTTCTGTTAATACAATAACTTTCATTTTTCTGAACAGGTTTTAGCTTAAGTCTCAGTTGGGAAGCAAATGTTGAAGGACTCGAAGAACATGTGGATGAAGAGCTACTTTTCTTAGATAACTCATAAGTTGGAGTGCTAATGTCTGGCAACTCAGTCTTACGTGATGAAGGAGACCACTTTTTTGGAATGGGAGTCTCATAACTTGCAGCTCCTGAAATATCTTTGTTTCTTTTTGTCTGTACTTCAGGTATAGAAGCTATTTCTAATGATTCTTGTAAGCATTCACCTCCTACACCTTTCTTGCATGTATATTTTTTTATCTTTTTAACATAATTTTCATTCTGAAGACTTTTTGTCTTTGAGGTTGCTTCATTTCCATTAGTTCCTGCTGATGTTACATTATTTGTTTCTTGGCTTCTTAAACCCTTACCATTTTTAAATTCTGCTAATTTTGAAGCACTGGGTGGTTTTATTGGATCTATGTTATATATTTTCATTTGCTTTGAAGAACTTTCATTGAGAGAAGTGGCTGCATTAAATGTTTCTACATTTCCAGCTTGATTTTCCCTGCAAACAAATGAAACATCCTTTTTTTGGATTTTAACATCTCCACCAGTAGTCCTGTCTGGTGCAACAGCACTAGTAGATATCCTGCAAGCTGCTGGTGATAGTTTTGGCTCATTATCTTTTGGAGTTTTCATGGTAACACAGTTGTTTACTGTTGTGGATAGAATGGAATGAACAGTATTTTCTTTATGGTAGGGAGATAATTCATTGCCTTCTCCAAACAGGAACTTTGACATATATGAATCTTTTGCTATGCCCCTTGTGCCTGTGGAGGATTCTTGATTGTCTTTCTCTTCCACATCTTTAAGACTACTCGTGAAAAACTGTCTGCGGGCTGTGGCTGAAGTGGTTGATATTTTGAGTTTTTCTGGTTCTGATTTCATTGGAATTAGTTTCTCAGCTGGTGACAATGAGACCTGTTTTCTGTATGCCTTGCTTTCAGAATAAGTTTGTCTGGAAATCTCCTCTTTTGGACACACAACACATTCATATGTCCCTACACTGTCTCCCTCTACATATGCTCCAGGCTTCAACAGAACTCCGCATTTGGCACATTTGAAACATGTCCTGTGATATACCTTGCCATCCACTAACAGTCTCTCTAGAATAAATACTTTCTGCTGACACACTTGGCAAACTTCAGACTTTCTTGTAATGACTCCTGCTGCTAACTGGAAATAATCACCAACAATAGTCAGTATAAACCACAACCCATTTACAAGTAAAACAGATGGTACAAAAGTACTCTTTAACAATTATATATATATACAGACACACACACACATTCTAAAGAGGTTTGCTTACAAATATATGTATATGTGTGATCAGCATACTATTTCTGAAGTCTCAAGTGAATGGCAAACCAAATACTTCATATTCTAAAACCTAAACAGGGGGGCTGATTTTTAGTCTTATGTTCCTCTTTTAGTTACTACAATTTTTGGTACCAAAATGCAAGAACATTTGTATGTTTTTTCACATCTGCCCATTTCTAAGTTACGAAAACCCTGTAATAGACCCTACTTAAGTCTTAATTTTTCATTCTTTTGTTGAAGGCCACATAAAAATATAAAAAAGATATTTCCACTATATGCCACAACATTTTTTGAGCAATAAATATATATTTTCATGAAGGCTGTGAGATTCTTACTGTAGTATTTCAAATATCATTTCCTTGCACTATAACATTAACCGATGAAAAGCATACTTGAATTTGTTTTTAACATTATGACGATAGAGAAAATGCCACAAGATATTAAGTTTTATCTTTACTTTTACATAGTATTTCCACAGTGTGTTACTCTAAATATTTTTAGTCTTAGAGGACATTACATAAAGCTGACGCTTTACTAGCCACTTGTTAAGAATAATTGCAAAAAAGTTCCTAAAATTATATGGATTTACTATAAATTATTGAACCATTAAATGGCACATAGAATTAAAAACCTTCATTTAAGATGAGAGATCGAATATCTTTATAGTGGTATGAGGAATAATTAAAAAAAATCATGCAATTATTTCATGTAAAACATATGTACTAGTGTCAAAGTTTAAAGATGACTAATAACAACTCATTGTACTTATGACACCTAATCTGAATAAGATGGTATAGTTTACTGTATACCTGTTCTGACAAATAAGCTAGTCCACAGGGTCCCTTTATTCTCCTTATGTATTGCTGAGACTTATCTAATACTTTAATGTTTGTATATATTTTGCTTTATTTTTGTTAAAGATTAATTTTGTGTCATTTTGATTTAGAGTTCAGTTTTTCTTAAGATTTAACTTTTAACTTTCTTTTTTTAGCTTATAAGGGGTGGGGGTGAATTGGTGATGGAGAACTATTAAAGGTTCTTACATACTCTCTCCACACTCTCACAGCTAACACTTGTCTGTATTTTGTTTTGTGCTTTCATTGTGATTTTGTATTAAAGATTGGTTTTTGTGAATTTAACTCTTTTTGAGTGAGTTTGTAGCCAAACTATACAGCATTGTAGTGAGTATGTTGAGTATCTGATCCAGAGAAGATGGTATTTTCCACAGGTTGGAGGATTTACATCCTAGAGAGAGAGAGAGAGAGACATGTGTTGAAGAAGTGCAGCTCACACAGAGGGTGGAGAGGTCTAGGGGAAGTCTTCTCCTGTGATATTAGACTTATTTCATTGTTGCAATGGTCTTTGACAGTCATTATCCTGTAGCCACAAGCTCAGAAAGAAGAATGGATACTATCCAGGTCTTCCCATGGTGTTTGTGGCACAGATGATACTTTCATCTAGACATCACTTTGGAAGGGAGGACAAAACATCTCCTTTGGTTGTGGGCTGTAAATGCACTTCAGTAGGAATTGCACATGTCTTTGGGCAGCAAGAGAGATGGATTTCTCCATTTTGATGATGTAGCTGTTGTTACTTAGGCTCCAGAAAACTAACAGAGCATGAGTAGAGTCATGGAACACACAACAGACAATTCACATTGAAGGGTGAGGTCATCAGCTCAGCTCTTTCAGGGCTGAATGGTGCTTAGTAGGCATCTATGAAGATACATGGGTGAACACCATGAGATGCATTGATGTGTTTGTATTGACATGGACAGACAAATGTCTGGATGTGTTTGAAGGCACTCAAATTGTTCATCACTTTAGACCTAAACTCTGGATTTTATCAAGTTGAGCTGGATGAAGAAAACAGGATCAAAACTGCTTTCAGCAATCAAGACTGAATTCTGAGTCATGTCATCCAGCCTTTATAATGCTCCCATCACTTTCAAGAAGCTGATGGCACTTACACTAAAGGGCTGCAACTAGAGATATGCTTGGTCCATGCAAATGATGTCTTGACATTTGGCCAAACATTCAAGTCTGCTGCTCCAAACCTGTCCATAATTCTGTAATGGATAAGAACATCAGGAGTACAATTACAGCCCAGAAAGTGTGCACATATGCACACACACAAGTAGAATTTCTTGGTCACATAGTGAGGAGAAACATCACCTTGACTTGATAAGACAAGAAGTTCAAAGTTCCTATGTCTGCTCTAATGCTGATGTGCATTTTAGGTTAACCAAAGAATAAAATCACTCATTCCAGTCTCTAAAGAATACTTTAGTGGAAACTTTTGTAATGCCATATTCACAACAAGACTGTGAGTTCCTGTTGAATACAGATGCTAGTATTGTTGCAGTCACACAACAGAGCTAAACAAGTCATTGTGTTCATGAGCTGTATATTCATGGCTCCTGATAGCTGATGCTGCATAATGAAGAAAGAACTGCTTGCATTACAGTCTTCATAAAACACTACTTGCTTTATTTGTATGACTGGAGGTTCACCCTTACAGTGGATCATAAGATGCTAAAGTTTCTCATGATCCTTCAAAATCTGGATGGGGATAATAGCATGTTTAATCACAATTTTGCAGGATCATGTCATGGTCATACAACATCATCTAGGAGTAGAACACAAATAGATTATGTTCTTTCACAGAAAGTCTTGACCTAGGACAACATGTTGAAGTAAAAGCCATTTCAAATGTCACAACACCCAACCATGCTCTAGGTGATTCTACTAGTGAATGGATACCGAAACTCACCCTTCTAAAACTCCAGGAGGAGCAGTAAGGGGACCCAAGAACTTATTGTGCAGCAGGATAACATGTAACAGCATGTTGTATTATTTTTATCAGCCACCTAGATGTGGTTCTCAGCCTGTGTTGCAGTAGTCATTCCTAGGGCCCTAAGGTGACAAACTTTCCAGATTTTCGTAATGTAAGGACTGGAGGCCACTATGGTGTCATACTCACTAGTGCTAATGTTTGATGGCAGTTCTACTGGCCATGTTTGAGTAATTATGTTCAGCACACAGTTGTGCATGGTGTTAGATGTGGTGAAGACATACACTTCACATTATTACCCCAGTTAGATGATTTGGCAGAGTAAATAATAGACTAGTAAGGGTCTGCTTGCAAAGTTTATTAATCTCAGTCAAACTAACTGGGGTGAACACATTCCATACATCATGATTGTTTATCTTGCAAAAGAACAGAGATTGACTAGATATTCACCAAATATGCTCATGTTTTGACAGGAAATGATGCTCCTTATAGATGTGAATTATGGATCACCACTTAGTGCAGAGATGACACAAGCATACACAGAGTGGCTGAGATCTCCTTAAAAGTTTATGCACCAAGAACTACAAAAGACAACCTTATGGCAGAAGAGATGCCATGATAAAACAGTCAAGAAAAGAACCTTTCAATGCGGAGACTGGTTATGGCTTTGGTAAGTGGCAGTTGCATGGAAGCAGCTTGGCACTGATTAGGCAGCTCTACACCTAATACTCTGATACGTTTGTCCATTAATATACGAGATCAAGTATTCACATGGCATGTGCAAATGCACAGAGCACACTGACAGGCTGTAGCCTTATGTTATAGATGAATCTCTCATGCTCTGGTTTAACCTGGAATTGGAGACTGGGACTGATGAGTCAGAGGAAAATGAAACTATTGTTTCACAGCAACTCTACTCAGCTGATAGGGAGGAGGATGCTAAGAGACCTTATATGGCTGTGTTAAATAAGTCAGATAAGAAAATAACTGAAGAGGTGCCACAAAGCTCTAGTGATGTGTCAAGACAACATTTTCATTGATTTGACTGAAATTAACTGCCAGGTCAACAGTTAGGACAGTCAATGATTGTACAACCATCTACTGAAATGAAATGGAATTTTCCAAGGTACCAAGTAAGTTCACCATATAATGTATGCATTACGTTGGATAATTTTTACTTGATTATCAAAACTAGGATAGTCATTTGGTCAAAAAAACCAGTGACTAAAAGGGTGTTGTAGCTATAGCTTTTTGAGCTATCATATGGTTTTGTTCAACAAAATGTATGGATGGTATTTTGGGAATATCACTCAATTATAAGAACTCAGAATGGCTGGTGCTAAAGATGTTAAGCCTAAATTGTTAACAGTTTGTACAACTGTAGACATTCACTAGGAGTTCAAATACTCAGCTTAAAGGGAATTTCAACCCTTGCTTTCCTAGCAATTGTTGACAGCAAAATAGTCTTTTGACATTTTGCAAAAGTAGTTCACTATTAGATGAGTATCTGCAGCTCTCCAGAACAGACTGCGGGATGCTTGATAGTACGCTTACAATAAAAGCACATTTACTGTGGACTATTGTATTTAGCTGAGGTTGGTTTGACTGTTTATTGATAATCATTGTAGTGACAGAATGAATATTAATCTTGGTGACAAGAATTTGAGATAAATTTTATCTAAATTCTGCTGGTAATTTTGTTTTTGTGATGCCTATAAAAGATTGTTGAATTTCACCACTCATCTAGAATGGCACATTGTGGAACATAACAACCAGTTCTTTGTTTACAAAAGTAGCCTGAGTTAGTTACTATGGTAATGGTGCACAAGCCTGAGGCAATCTGTAAAAAAGCTACTATTATATGTGATGATGTGCAGTAGTTTGAGACACATGTAAATGGCAATATATTTTTGTGTGTGAATATATATAAGTGTGTGTGTGCATGTGTGTGGGTATAACACAAACTGAATCAACTACTGAGAACAAAACTAACAGACAACATTTGAATGACAATGGATAAGACTTCAAGCTATGAAGTTAACTGTGATTACTAGCCTGTAAAG